TTTGCCGAACTCCTTCGGACCTTTCCTCTGCATTCTGCGGAATCTCATTTCACACAGCATATCGATTTGCAGCTTTCTTCCCGTTTCTTCCAAGTGTGCGTGGCACAGTTTTGATTGTTCTTTTCCGCTTCCTCTCTATATTATCTATTTATTTATGTTGTTAAATGTTTACTGAATTCATGTGATTGTAGCTTTCCCTGTCCGGTTGAGTGAACAGCTTGCCGTTGTGCTTCCAACATGCTGGTTCGATTTTCAAGTTGTACCGAGCTGTTCCACTGACTACACTGAATACTGAACCATATTGCATTTGAACTGCATTAGTACTGCTCACTCAACTGTTTTCTCCTCTTCCACATCTAGTACACCACCTCCTCCACTACCACTACCACTGTCCACTGTCCTGTTGCATATCACGTTAGAAAGGATGTACACTCCTTTCATTTTCCCCTCTCTGTCTCTCCGTTTTTGACAAACTTGTCGATTATATAACCTCTCTGTTAGATAGTCAATACTGAAGTCATTGTTGTTGTTTGCCATCCACACACATGCCATGTACGTGTACTTGTACGTTCGCACCAAATAAAGTTTACTCTATGGTTATCCACCTGTCGGTGTTTGCACATGCGGCCATACTGCTGTAACAGATATGCACAGACACAACAGGGAACGTGGAAAAGTGGCGGGTTGAATGTGCCTCCAATCAATGGATACACTGATTTGATAGTGGCAAGTTCGATTCAATTCATCGATCAATTGTCGCCTCTCTTTCTTTCGTCATTAATCTTCAAACAAGTTTGTCTCTGTCGCAACTTTAGGTCTAGTTCACTTTCTCTTCTCGATAATATTCATCGTTGACCTTTATTTCACTACTCTATTTTTTATTTTTATTTTTTGTTAAATGCCACTACAACTTGTTATTTAGGGTTTTTTTCCCTGTGTTGACCAAGAACTAAGCTTTTAATACACCTTTTTTACTGTTTGTGAATCTTTCTCAGGTGATTTTATAGACCTTCAACTTGTTCATTTCCTCTCTTGGCAATGAACACACACACAAACAGGACGCCACTGTTAACAGCATAGACAGCATTAATTGCAGCGTAATGACGAAATGGCAATCCATTGGCGTGGATAGATTCTTATCGACATGGAAAATTCCAATTGGAGTGCGCTTGAGCAATCACCTTCGACATCAACGCATTTTCACTGTCGAGTGCATTACCGTCTGCTCATTTTGCCCGAAACCTGTGTTTCTGGCTTTCCTTTCCCTCTCTGTTGCCAAAATTGCTGTCGTCAGTGCCCTTCTCAGTAGCACCTCTGTGGCAATATACGACTGGACGAATTAATTAGCAGGTTAGATCTTGTCGCCAGGTTTTGATTCGATTTGCGCGCAAATTGAGTTAACAGCTGACAAATTGAGCGTGATCTAATCGTTCGGAAATCTGTGCTCTATTGGCTAACAGCTGAGCTGAAGTTTACCTCTAAGATTGTCTTTTATCAGTGTGTCTGTGTGTGTTGTGAGTATGTCTACTTAAAGCGCCCCTCAGTAGTGCGTTAGTGACAGCCACAGTCATCCGAGACAATTGCCTGGCGCAAATTAATTTGGTTTGACATTTCTCCGAGCAGCAAAATATCGCTCTCTCTCTCTTTCTTTGTCTGCCAGTGTAGCTCTTTTTGTGTCTGATCACAAGCAGTAGGCCATAGAGTTGAGTTTGAACTCGTTTGTTTGCACAGCCCTTTGAAGAAAGGGAGAGTAAAAGTAAGTAAGTGCAGTAGCAGGAACAACCACTAGACAACATAGACATAAGTTGAGTCATTTGAGCAACGATAATGTTCCCTCATGTGTCAAGCTCGGCCAACGGGTTTCTCTGTGTTGTCCGCTGATCGACGCTCTCTCTCTCACTTTCTCTCTCACTCGTGGCCGTCGTCTGACCTGAAAGTCACTTTGTGTGCGGGGAGGAAAGGAGAGAGCCAGAGAGCACTTGGGTGACACTGCCGTGCAGCAGCAGCAGCAATTGACCCAATCTAGATCATTGCTGCGCTTCGGCACTGAATTCACTCAGCTGCTCTTTCTGCCGGCCTGACGACTGACGACTGTCCTCAACACACAGAGCACCGAATGCCACCAGCGAAAGTAGTCCTCTCTACTGGCGCCATTAGCCTTTCACCGCGACAGTCGCACTTTACCGTTTGCACTCCCACACCTCCGATCACTATTGAAAGTGTATGTGTGAACACTTTTCTGCGTCCTCGATCCTACCTCTCTCTCTCTCTCTCCTTCTTTTAACCAGTTGTGTTTATCGGAGGCAATCAGTAATCAGCAAATCCCTACCGCCCCTCTACCAGCACCTCAAACCCCCACCCCACCTACAAACTTTGTCATGTCCTGCTCTGCTCTGTGTGTTGATGCCCTCGTTGATGCCCGCACTTCCAATGAATAATGTCATTGGAGTCAGACGAACCACCATCAAAATTGATCAGTGAGCGACGGCAGCCATTGATCGCTTTGGCCTGCGCAGTACTCTGGCTAATTGAATTTGTCAACATCTTCGGAGAGGGCAAAACTGAGACCAAGATGTGTCTGTGATGTGCCGTCCTTTGCACCGATCAGTTTAATCACTAAAACAAGCAATCTGGAAATATATTTGCCTTCTTCTCCTTTCCTTTCCTTCTCCCACTACGGATTCTCCAGACCTAATTAGTATTCGAAGCGACCCCTGTCCTCCTGCCTCTCTTTCTCGCCCTCTGTTTGCCTCTCAGACCTCAGCAGCCTCAAGTGACTAACTGGCCAAACTCAGCCCACTCGATCCATTATGCAGCTAGTCTTCTCCATTGCCATTCTCCTGTGTTGTTTTCTAATGCCAATCAACTCGCATCGAAAAGGTAAGGCAAATGCCAACTCTCTCCAATGCTCATGCTCCTTGCCCCAAGTGTCGGACACAACTGTGTTCACCGGCATAACCATTACCATCAGACCGCCATCAGGCCACCACCACCATCTTCAGATAGTGCTCACTTGTGTAGCTACATGTAGGTGGCGGTCTTGCAGCAGCAGCTGTCACCAAGCCCATCGACTTTGATGGTGGTTTGATATTGGAGTAACCGTTTTTTTCCGTCTTTTGAAAGCAAAATGTGCATCTCAACATATTGCAGTGTGTTTGTGTGCATGTACCAAAAAGACACCAAAAGGAAGGAGCCTGCTTGTTATTGCTGTTGACGACTAATTAGCCAACAGGATAGCAAAAAATGTCGCACGTAAATTAGAAAAGGTATATCCATTTGCAGACGACTGCCTGCCACTCCGGTGGCTTTACTTCACCGTTATGACGCAAAGATCGTAAAAAGCCGAAAATAGTAGTTTGCTCCGTTTTTGTTTGAACTTCTAATGAGCTTAGTGACAACATAAAAAGACAATAGTGAATACAGTACTGCCGCTGTTTTTTTCTTTCCCTTTTATCTTTTCTTTTCACCCCTCAACTAATTTTTTCCTGCTAATTAAATGATTCTTGTATTTTTCCCCTTTCTTCTCATCAGCTTTTTTGGCGGGCTCAAGTGATAGTACCACTTTTTTGTCACGTGATGACTTTAGTCGAGCACAAAATATGAACTTCACTGAGGCGACCGCCGAGTCAGCTCCAGTTCCGGTGAACCTCAACGATCCCGAGGTGCAGTCTCTCTACTACGAAGGTGACATGATGATCCAGGAGACGGAGGAGAAGAAGGTGGCGATGTACACTGCCAAACGGTGGCCCCACGGACGCATTCCCTACATCATGGAGAACAAGTTTGCGCCGGAGGAGCGCGCCGCCATCGCGCGTGGCATTATGATTCTCCAGGAGCGCACCTGCATTCGCTTTGTGCCGAAGAAGGTGCACGACGAGGACTACGTGCTGATGCGCCGCGGACCGGGCTGTGCGGCGCACGTCGGTCGCATCGGCGGTCAGCAGTGGGTCATCCTTGGCGACGGCTGCTACGGCATTGAGACGGTCACGCATGAGTTGATGCACTCGGTTGGCTTTATCCACGAGCAGTCGCGTCCTGACCGAGACGAACACGTGGAAATTGTCTGGGACAATATCAAGTCATGTAGGGAGAAAACATAAGAATAGCCTGCTTGTTTGTTTGGAAAAACCTTTTTATGCTATTTTTATTTTTCTTTTTTTGCAGCTGCAAAGCGGAACTTTAAGAAGCACGGAAACGACTACCTGGCAGATCACGGCTTCCCCTACGACCTCCTCTCTGTGATGCACTACCGCCAGTATGCCTTCTCGAAGAATCGCAAACCGACTATTCTGCCGAAGCGGCCGGTGCCGTACCTGCGTTGTCGCGGCATTGACTGTCCATCGGAGCTTGACATTAAGAAAATCAACTTTCTCTACAAATGTCACAAGAAGGAGGACGATTTTGACGCCTACGACAAAGACTTTGACAATGAGGTGACGGTGGATGAAATCATGATCGGCGGCAAGGGAGGACATGGTGACGGCTTGGATGAGCACTTTAATCCTGACATGGAGGCTGACAATGAGCCCTGTTTGGAGGGAGAAAACTGTCACTATCGAGGAGGGAACTATAAGCTCTCTAAAGGAATGCTCTATCCACCTCTTTTTAGCAACGGTTTTGCCTACGACGACGCTCACCCGCGAGCTCACAGAAAACTGCCAGTGCCTGGCGACGGCCAAGGCTTGCCACTCTTCTATCGACCTCAGATACATCCTGCCTTTTTACACGGACCTGTTCCTCCATTGTTCGACTTTTTCTAGATTAACTTTTAACTGACACCTTTCACCCGACCGCCACACATTTGCAATCACATTTGCACCGTGCACAAACCTCTTTGCTCTTCACCCGCTCGCCACTGACCATCAGTAGTTTGAATTTAGGATTCCTACTTTTTATTTATGTATACTCGTTTGATGTAAATAACAAGTCGACTAACATGCATTTGATAAACTAAGGTAAAAAAGTTTACTTTTAGCAAGATTTTTTCTAAATCATTCCGCACACAGGTTGTATGGTTTTAATTTTACTGAAATGAAATTAAAGAAAAAAAGCATATGCATGAGGTTGATTTTTCAATTCATAAAACATTTAAATGAAACCTAAAATCACTTTTTGATTCAACTGCAACTGCATGGTGTTGTTTGCTCAAGTTCTGCAAATTGAAAGAGCACTGATTGAACTGCACTGAAAACATGCTGGCAATATATAAATGCCCTTGTTCACATCTCACTACACATTCAGACCGTCTTGGCCAGTGTGCTAATGTACTGCTCAGTGACAGATGGTGGTGCAAGCAGCTGGTGGCCATGTGCTGGTAGCTCTTCCTTCTCCTGTGTGACACATCATCGGACAAGCTGTCCTTTTAGCGCTGACAAACGTTCCATCTACTCAACTTGTTATCTTTTCTTTTTCTTTCTTTTCACCTACGACTGTTCTCTCTTTTTTTCTCTCTCGTTTGCAATCTCATTTTTTCATTGTGCAGTGAAACAATCGAGCCAAAACGCACTCGACATTTCGAAGTGAGCTATCACCGACCTAGGCGTCTTAATCCAATGGGATCACTGGTAGTCGAGTCGAGCTCATTAAATGCTCTCACTCTTTGGATGACACTTGTCTGTTGTCAATTCTCCTTCCCCTTCCCCTTTTCTCATTTTCCCTGTTCGCTGATTTGATTTGCATTGCGCAGTTTTTCAGCGTGCAAATTGCACTTTATGCTAATTTAGCAGATTAGATGTGTCACTGTTCAGTTTTTTACCAAGATGTTCTGAGGCTAACTTGGCCAGTGAGCAACAATAAATATTGATTATTTCCGAATAGCTCAACGTGGTGGCAACTACGAGGAATTTTGATTAAACTTTGCTTTTGTCTTTTCTTCTGCTGTCTCGTTTGTATGGGCACCGTCTAAGCTCAACTGGGATAAATGGTGGTCCATGTCGACTATTTCCTCCTCTTTGACTATATCTCCCTTTCCTTTTCTCTTTTTGTGTTTCTGTGTGTTTGTGTGTTTGTTTTGTTTGTCTGGCGAGTTTTGAGGAGACACATGAACACACTACTAGCTTCACACACAGCTGCCCTTGTCTGCCATTGTTCCTTTAAAAGGAATTATGTTATGGAGCTGTTTCTGTCAGCAGTTGCTAATTGGTGCTCTTTCCTCTTTTCTTCTACTTTGGGTCTATTTTTCTCATTAATACACACTCAATCCGACTACAAGCACCAAAAGGTAATTGACAGGCCATTCTATTAATTGAAAATAGTGAGACTGCCTGACGGCAAAATGTACTGCAAAATGAACGGCCTTTTTGTGCTGAAGTCCCGTGCGGATCAAGCCTCCTGTATTAATTGCAATTGAGCACATCACCACTTGACATACCCAGTACAAATTACCATTTCTATCGACTTTCTTGCGCAAGATGTCGTCGACCAGCCTTTTCTCACTAGGCCTGCAATGGCTTCACAAACAAGCAAACCGCTTTTTCGGCCAACCAAACCGTCAATAGGGAATCACTGATTACTAGGAAAGCTGGGGAAAAGGCTTTTCGGCGTAGTTTTCACTTTACTCGGCACTGTGTTTCTCCCACACACTATCTGCAGTCGCCCAGTTGCTGACTGCCAATCTCAATTGGCGCGTCTTCAAATGAAGAGTTGACTGTTCACCCAAATTCAATAACGATTGAAATAAAAGTTTCACTTGCTCCTTTTGCTCAGTGCCATTTTAATATCTGCAATCGTTCCAACTTGGGTGACTTTTGTTCGGTCCGATTTGGAGACTTTTTGGGATACCATTATAGAGCAAATCAGTAGGACTCCTTTTCACCCCTGTTTGCAATTTTCTCCATTGTAACATTGCACTACTAGCTTACCATTTCACAGTTTTAAATTCATGCAAAGTTATCGTAATAGTGATCTTGGTTTAAGCAGTAAAAAACTGGTTTTTTATTCATTGTCATAGCTTAACTCTCTTGAGAGGAAGATTTTTATCAATTGGAGCCCCTGTCTTGAGTATTTTTTTTTGCTATAAATTTGAGTGACTATTATTTACTGGTGAGCTCGAAATTCAGATTTGTTGATTCCTTTCAATATTTGATGGTCATGGAATGTATCTTTCATTCTAAACTGCATAAGCAATTTTTCTCAGAAGAAGTTGCTTTTGCTCATCTGTCACCTTAAAAAAGTATGTTATGAATTTTTAATTTACACTAATCTTTTAGTCTAGTCGTGACAGTTGATTGATTAGAAACACTAGTGACTAGAAACAACGTGACTGAAGAAGAAGCACTTTCGTTTTGAGAGAGGTCTTCAGTCAAGACTTTTAACTAATTCTGCACAGCAGACAACCTCTGCCTGCTCTTCAGCCAACATCATCAAGTGCTGCCGCATCCAGTCATCGGATGATTACAAAGTGCTCCTGCAATGAGCGTAGATCTGTTTAATAATACATCAAACATTTTTTACATACATGCATGCAAACATGGTAAAGAGGAAAGGGTCGTCTGACAAGCTTCCATCTTTAGTTCGTTGCTCCACACATAAAAGCCGCTGAGTGGATGTTAGCACAGAGAACACTTCAGCTATTGCCTGCCATATGGCCGTTTATGACTTGGAAGAGGTTTGCCGAGGCAATTCTTTTTATACGGATGAAACTATTCATTTGATAAGCATTAAACATTCTTAATGTTGCAATGCTTTATTTTGGAAAAGCAGCAAATGCAAAGTTTGTTCTACTTTTCTACACTTTTTGATTTGCAAATGTCGAATTGACGCTATTACCACTTTCGATTGGCTGCACTGCATTACAATGTTTTAATTAAATGTTGAAATTTTAATTAAATTTCCTCTTAGCTGCAAAATAATCCATTGACAATGCTAAATCCAACTTTAATGAGAACTGCTTACCCTCTTTTGTGAGTTTGATCAATTTTTTCTGTCCCAACTGTCAACTGACTTTTTTTTAACTATTTTCAGCTTTTTTTAACAATAGTTTTTAACAAATGAATCTAATCAACAGTAGTGAGTGAGTGAGTGAGTGAGTACAAGCTTTTTTCATTATTCACGCCAAAAACGTCTAAAGAAACAAAAAGAACTGTTTTCAACTCAAAATTAATTTCTCAAATTTAGCGAGCCACATTACTAGATCTGACCGTTGCTAGGGTAGCACTTTTTACAGTATTCCTGCATAAAGCAGCAGTTTGTTGCTGTTTGCATTTTTCCAAAAGTGGTAGGCAGATAAGACAGTGCAATTTGAGAAAGTGTAAAGGAAAAAGATCAACAGCATGCTGCATTGCCTTCGCACTCAACTGTGCATTTCAAATAGAGCTATTAGAGAAAACACTAATGGCTGTATTGAGGCATTGAATGAAGGACGTCCAGCGACTAGTAGTGCTCACCTCGTTGGAAGCGTATCATTGGCCTCAATAGCCATGTGGATGGCAATTATTACCTTATTACCGAAAGTGACCAATTCGATCGATAGTGCGCGGGCGGCCGGATTACGACAGAGCAGTGTACGACTGCAGATGTTCCTCACCACCACCGCCTGCTGAAACTCTGTCTAGGAACTTACACTTGCCAAAAACTTTCACGTTCACTTTCTGCCATTATGATGGCCACTGATGGTCATTATATTGTTTGGCTGGCTTTGTTTAATGAAAACAAGCAAGAGCCACCAGCAAGAGAGTGTGCCGCGGCAATAAAAGAACACTACCCTGACGAACTGTAGTGACCAGAACTTGCACTTGCACCAGCAGCACCATCACTACACACTAGCATTACCACCACCTTCGTCATTCTAGCGTTACCTGAGCGTTCTCTTTTCTTTCCGCGTCCACTTTCGGTTTCACTCCGATTTGTTGCGGCAATTCGGTATTGCCATTAACAGATCGACGGCAAATTGGATGCGGTGCCAAGAAAATGCCTTCAATCGTGAGTGCCACTTTTATCAGTGAGTTCCGCGTTTGGCTTGCGTAAGGATAAAGCATTTGCTCAAAAAGTAGAAAAGCTTTTTACAATGGCTTAGTTAGCCTTTTATAAATTACTTATATTTTTAGTTTTTAACTTGAAATGTTTAAGATAAAAAAATTGGTCAATTTTCTAAGTGAATGCGAATGACAAAAAAATTCAATTTTTTTCAGTTTTTAAAAAAGTTAATATCCGGTAAACAAAAACGGTTTTTCAGAATACTAAGATTTACTAGAAATTTTTGTTAAGAATTCATTTTGCTTTCTGTTTTTACAAATCGCTCAAAAAACTGCGTTCTGCAAAACAATCAAATCACAGCATTATTGCAAAAACACAATAATGCCATTAATTGCCAAAACGTTTGGACAGATGACAATTGTGTTTTGAAAGGGCACTGTAAGAAAGGGCAGCAATAGTACTTAGAGAATTTCGAGTTGATTCGTCTAGTATAGTTTTTCCTATACATTAGTGTGAATGCTTCATCGTTAATGCACCTCAGGGTAATACCGAGGTCCGGCCACTGCTGCCGTTTGGTGCACACCACTGGGCCACTTGAATCGACTTCTGACTGTTTA